AGAAAGGTGACAGCAGGCATGGCGGGCAGAGCCAGAGGAGCACTGTGTGGAGAGCTGCTTCTGTGATCTCTAAGTGCCATCAGTTCGGGTCTCAGCTGCCGGAAGCATGGTCAGTGATCTCGCTAGTGAAGGTCTTCTGTTGAAGTCAGCATCGTTTCCCTCATAGCCAACATTGGAGAAGTTGTTCTGTGACCTGCAGGTGCTGTTAGGTGTAGACGGCGCTGCTGTAGAAGGTGGTGTAGGTGGCACTAAGATGCAGCCAAAGGCAGAGCTCTATGCAAGGCCCTGGCTTTCATTCCCCCAGCCCCAGATTCACGATCATCCTGGACAACAAAGCCAGACGCTAGGTCAAAAATGAGATGTTTTCTTCATGTTACATTTCAAATTAAAACTGAAGTGTTTCCTTTCCAGGAGATTGTCTGCTGTCTGTCAACCTTAACGAGGCTCCTTCTAGAATGGAAAGTCTCGCTTTATCCTCCGAGGGCCTTTATATATTCTTGCCTGTTAAGGGCTTTTGTGCACAAGTTCTCCATTCTGCCAGTTTCACAGCTTTTTAAGTTTAAAAATAACTAGAGCTTTCCTTTCATGGTAAGCAGAGTTACTGTGGAATTTTGCTGTCTTTAACTGCATGTCAGAATCACCTAGTTCCAGGAATGTAAGATACACATGCTACTAAAAGTATTTTTTTAACCCAAAAGGAAAACTTGCAGCATATACTTTTCAGTTCTAAGAAAGTAAGAAGAGTTTGCTTACCTCACTCTCCTGTTAAAGACTTAAACACGGATGAGGTGTGGCTCCGTGGAAGCCTGCCTAGTGTGTGCAAGGCCCTGGGTTCGGTGTTGAATCCCGAGCAGAAGGCCCAGGGGTGTGTGTGTGTGATAACTAGGGATTGAACTCAGGACCTGGTACTGTCTCAAGGCTGGCACTTAGCACTTGAGTCACATCTCCATCGGAGATAAGAGTCTTACGGACTTTCCTGCCTTGGCTGGCTTCACGCCGCCAGTCCTCAGACCTCAGCCTCCTGAGTGGCGAGGATCAGGTGTGGGCACCGGCGCCCGGCTGTGCGTCCATCTCTGGAACACTGTCTTGGTCACTGCAGTGCTCACAACCTGCTCTGGGCCTGCGGTTTCTGGGGGCTCGTGCTGGGCGGCGTGGGGGCTCGTGCTGGGGCTCGTGCTGGGGCTCGTGCTGGGGCTCGTGCTGGGCGGCGTGGGGGCTCGTGCTGGGCGGCGTGGGGGCTCGTGCTGGGGCTCGTGCTGGGCGGCGTGGGGGCTCGTGCTGGGCGGCGTGGGGGCTCGTGCTGGGGCTCGTGCTGGGCGGCGTGGGGGCTCGTGCTGGGCGGGGTGGGGGCTCGTGCTGGGCGGCGTGGGGGCTCGTGCTGGGCGGCGTGGGGGCTCGTGCTGGGCGGCGTGGGGGCTCGTGCTGGGGCTCGTGCTGGGCGGCGTGGGGGCTCGTGCTGGGGCTCGTGCTGGGCGGCGTCCGTGCACCGCGGCTCCGGCTCGTCAAAGCGCTCTCCCCACCGCTACTTCTCTTTCCTTTTTAGGCAAAAATCTTCCCAAAGTAACTTCTCTGTGTCTTATTTCTTCCTCTCCCCACAACTCCACCGAACACACCCAAGGAAACAATGAGGGAATTGCTGCTGCCGATGCGTTGGTGGTGCGGCTCGGTCTGTGTTCCTGGACAGCAGCGCGGTGACCCGGTGTCCGCCTTGGCCTGGAAGCGCGCAGCCCTCAGACCGCACGCCGCCCATGCTCGGGCCGCGCCGCCCATGCTCGGGCCGCACGCAGCTCGGGCCGCACGCCGCCCATGCTCAGGCCGCGCCAGCGCACACCGCCGCCGCCCACCTCCCCACCTCCCCTCCCCGCCTTGCGCACACCCACAGCGACAAGCGCTGGGCCTCGTCGCGCCCTGCTGCCTCCCGGAAGCCCCTCGGGAGTGGGCCGCGCACCCCGGCCGCTGCTGAGCCGGGAATCCTGGGACCTTCTGTCGGAGCCCACATTCAAGGCGCCACAAAACGTGGCTCCGTGCTGAGAGTTATCGATCATCCAACCACTTCCAACCCTCGTGCTGGCCACCGGTTGTGCATTGCGCGTGCGTGTGCACACGCGTGCGCTGTGCGAGTCCCGACTCAGGTCACATCTCGTTTGTCTGGTGTCCTGACGGGCGTGCGCGCTCCCGCAAGGCGGTTCGGTCCGCGCGGCTCACGGGTGCGTGGCACACCGCTCGTGTGCGCGCGCAGGGGTAGATGAGGGCGGCCCGGCGGGCAGGCCCCGTCCTCGCCTGCCACCTCTGCTTCTGCGGAAGCCTCTGGCGGTTCAGGCCCCCGGCCCGGCCCCCGGCGCCCTCCTGCCCTCCTCCCAAACTCCGGAGAGACCCCCCCAGAACCCGGCTCAGACTGGGCTAAGGAGATTAGCTCTGCCAGTGGCAGCACAGCGCCCTGCCTGACAGCGCCCTGAACCTGCGGCCCAAGCACGGATTCACCTCCCGACGCTCTCCACGCACAGCCCGCTGCGCAGCCGCTGCACCTGACGCACCCACGCACAACGCTGTGACCTCCTGACACCCCACGCACAACGCTGTGACCTCCTGACGCACCCACGCACAACGCTGTGACCTGACACCCCACGCACAGCTGCTGTGACCTCCTGACACACCCCACGCACAACTGCTGTGACCTCCTGACGCACCCCACGCACAACTGCTGTGACCTCCTGACACCCCACGCACAACGCTGTGACCTCCTGACACCCCACGCACAACGCTGTGACCTCCTGACGCACCCACGCACAACTGCTGTGACCTCCTGACACCCCACGCACAACGCTGTGACCTCCTGACGCACCCACGCACAACGCTGTGACCTCCTGACACACCCACGCACAACTGCTGTGACCTCCTGACACACCCACGCACAACGCTGTGACCTCCTGACACCCACGCACAGCTGCTGTGATCTGACACCCACGCACAGCTGCTGTGACCTCCTGACACACCCACGCACAGCTGCTGTGACCTGACACCCCACGCACAGCTGCTGTGACCTGACACACCCACGCACAACGCTGTGACCTGACGCACCCACGCACAACTGCTGTGACCTCCTGACACCCCACGCACAACGCTGTGACCTCCTGACACACCCCACGCACAACTGCTGTGACCTCCTGACACACCCCACGCACAGCTGCTGTGACCTCCTGACACACCCCACGCACAACTGCTGTGACCTCCTGACACACCCCACGCACAGCTGCTGTGACCTGACGCACCCACGCACAACTGCTGTGACCTCCTGACACCCCACGCACAGCTGCTGTGACCTGACACACCCACGCACAACGCTGTGACCTCCTGACACACCCACGCACAACTGCTGTGACCTCCTGACACACCCCACGCACAGCTGCTGTGACCTCCTGACACCCCACGCACAGCTGCTGTGACCTCCTGACACACCCCACGCACAGCTGCTGTGACCTGACGCACCCACGCACAACTGCTGTGACCTCCTGACACACCCACGCACAGCTGCTGTGACCTCCTGACACACCCCACGCACAGCTGCTGACCTACTTCCTGACACGCTCCACACACAGCCCCCTGTCCGGGGCTTGGCTGACCATGCCGGACCATGTGCTTGCATGCTGACACTCAGTTTTGCAGGGCCTCCTTGTTTTTTGTTGTGTTGTTTTGTTTTTGTCGGTCATGGGGTTTGAACTCTGGGCCTGGGCGCTGTCCCTCAGCTCTTCAGCTCAAGGCGAGCCCTCTACCACTTGAGCCACAGCGCCACTTCCAGTTTTTTCATGGTTTATTGGAGATAGGAGTCTCACAGACTTTCTTGCCTGGGCTGGCTTTGAACCATGATTCTCAGATCTCAGCGTCCCGAGTAGCTAGGATTACAGGCGTGAGCCACCGGCCCTCCTTGTTTTCTTGTTGTTTGTGGTCTAGACCAGGACTTGAGCGCCTTTGCCCCTGATGCTCTCCCTCGCTGCAGCCCTCCACCCCCGAGCGCGCCCCCAGCCCCTCCGCCTCAGCTCGCCTCTGTAGACTCTTCTCAAGCACTGTCTTCGGGTGAGATCTGGGAGGTGAGGAAGGGGGTGGCAAAGGCGGGGTCAGCTCATTGGTTGATGACTGTTCTTGATGAGTTAATAATAAAGGGGTGAAAAGGCAGCTCTGGAAGGCACTTGTGGACCTTCCTTCCCTCCCGCCCTCCCTCCTCAGCCCCCACCCCCCAGACCCCACCCCAGAGTTCCAGGGACTCTGGGAAAGTCAGGACATTTTTCCTGGATGGAAAACAGCTGAACTTCCTCCCTGTACCAGCCCATTTTCTAGACTTTCTTGTGCTGGGATTTGAACTTTGCACCTCATACTTGCTCAGCTGGTGTTTACCACTTGAGCCCACCTCCAGCCCTACTTTTACTATGTTGGAGATATAATCTAGCAAGCTTTCTGCACAGGCTGGCCTTGAACCACCTATCACCGCGCAGCTCATTTTCTAGATTTTTCAAGGTCTAGCACTTGGTGTAATTACACTGCTCAGAAATGCTCACGCATCGCACAGAGAGCCCAGTCCTGAAGTACCAGACAACTGGGGTGCAGGTTTCAATCGTGTATCACCCCACAAAGGCGGTCAGGACTGAAGACATGACAGCCTGCCGCCGCCTCATGTTGTACTCTGCAAACGAATCAGGTTCCTGTGAAGACGGGAGGGAGAGGCTGTGGCTTTGGCAGGCCAGGTTTACAGAATATAAAATGCAGATACAAGGTGGCAGGAGGAGCGCATTCTCCCTCGGAGGAATCGGGGTTTGTTCGAGGTGCGCTGTGGGAAGTTTACCTGGTGGTAGGCGGTAGAAGGCCGGAGCCTGGCCGGCGCGCAGGCTGGCTGCGCAGGCGGGTGGGCGGCCGGGGCGGAGCTGGGGACGGGCGGCGGGGAGCTGACTGGCGGGGAGTGACCGGCGGGGAGTGACCGGCGGGGAGTGACCGGGCCTCTGCCTCCCCAGCCTCTCCCATGGGACACGGCACGAGCCGGCTCTACAGCGCTCTCGCCAAGACGCTGACCAGCGGCGCCGCCGCCCCGCACCCCGAGTACCTGCTGTCCCCCGACCCTGAGCACCTGGAGCCCATCGATCCCAAGGAGCTTCTGGAGGAATGCCGCGCCGTCCTGCACACCCGGCCGCCCCGGTTCCAGCGGGACTTCGTGAGCGTGAGCAGCGTGAGCAGCGAGTGCCCCAGCAGCCACCCGCCCATCAGGGTCATGCAGTGGAACATCCTCGCCCAAGGTACGCGGCCCCGGGGACAGGGGACGGAGAGCAGCCGGGCACGGACAGCCGGGCGGCAGCGGGGTGGGCAGCTCAGAGGATCGGCCTTCCACCTCCAGCTGCCAGCCCCGGCTCACGGCCCGAGGCGCGTTTTCAAGGGAGGTGGGGGCCTGTTTTGAGGCCAGACCCTCTGCGGATCCGTGTGCACACGCGGCGGCGGCTGCTGCGCTGCTCCGTCCACCACAGCACTGTCAGGTTTAAACACCATGCGCCCGTCTGCGGCGCTGCTTCGAGGAGCAGTTGAAATTTTAGGGAAAAATTTAAAAGGCAAGGACCTCTTTTATGTGTTCATGTGCCAGTTTCCTGGGAAAGGAGGGAACATGCCAACTTGCTGATCGCTTCCGTTCTTCCAGGCAGGTGTGCATGCATTAAGTAGGAAAGGCCGCCCTTGTATCCTGAGCAGGGTCTAGTTACGTCGTCCGTTCCCACACATTTAGCTGACACACATTTAGCTGACACAGTCTTCCAGCACACGAATAGTTGTAACATAAAGGAGGCTCGTCCCTGACCCCACGCAGGTCGTGGATGTGCCCCGGCTGAAGGCTGACCGGCTTTTTCTTTTCAGCCCTTGGAGAAGGCAAGGACAACTTCGTGCAGTGTCCGGCGGAGGCGCTCAGGTGGGAAGAAAGGAAGTGTCTTATTCTGGAGGAGATCCTGGCCTACCAGCCCGACATCCTGTGCCTGCAAGAGGTGGACCACTACTTTGACACCTTCCAGCCGCTGCTCAGCCGACTGGGCTACCAGTGCACCTTTCTCCCCAAGCCCTGGTCGCCCTGTCTGGATGTGGAGCACAACAATGGGCCCGATGGCTGTGCCTTGTTCTTCCTCCAGAACCGGTTCAAGCTCATCAACAGCGCCAACATTAGGCTGACAGCCATGACACTGAAAACCAACCAGGTGGCCATCGCGCAGACGCTGGAGTGCAGGGAGTCTGGGCGGCAGCTGTGCGTGGCGGTCACGCACTTGAAAGCGCGCACCGGCTGGGAGCGGTTCCGGTCGGCTCAGGGCTGTGACCTTCTCCAGAACCTGCAGAGCATCACGCAGGGGGCCAGGACCCCCCTCATCGTGTGCGGGGACTTCAACGCGGAGCCCACCGAGGAGGTGTACAGGCACTTCGCTTCCTCCAGCCTCAACCTGAGCAGCGCCTATAAGCTGCTCAGCGCCGACGGGCAGTCGGAGCCGCCCTACACCACCTGGAAGATCCGGACTTCAGGGGAGTGCCGCCACACCCTGGACTACATCTGGTACTCCCAGCACGCGCTCAGCGTGCGCTCCGCTCTGGACTTGCTCACCGAGGAACAGATCGGACCCAACCGGCTCCCGTCCTTCAATTACCCCTCAGACCACCTGTCCCTCGTGTGTGACTTCAGCTTTAAGGAGCCGCCTCATGGACTTCTGTAAACCGGCTGTGCACCGTTTTAACCACTCCAGTCTTTCACTGGGGTGCTGCGGGGAACCAGACAAGAAGGGCCGGGGAGGCTCGCCGCACTCCGCCGGGCTGCCTCCCCTTCCCTGCCCTCCCCCTCGCAGGCAGCCGCTGGAGGGCATTCGGGCCCATTTGGAAGCTTTTTCAGTTTGAGGATGCTGCAAAACTCAGAAGTTGCTCGAGCCCTTCATCATTAACAATGAGTATGCAGGAACAAGTTCTAGAGAGAGCGTTTCCATTATTTATTCATTTTCTTAATGTCAATAAGATATGCATGGCAATATTTATTTTTTTATATCTTCTTGTAAAACTTAAGTAAATCATAGCATTGTGCAAAAACATAAGACACAGACAGTGATTTTCTTAAATCTTGGCGATGCTGTCATTTGCTGGTTTAACAGTGTACGCAGCCCTGTCTCCATGAGAGCAGGCTCGGCTCCCCGATCACACACAGCCCTGGTTCCTACACGGTTTCAGATTGTTTCTTAAACAGATTCCAGTTCTCCATTATTTAGTGACTGCTGTGTATTTATACTTCGTTAGGATAATTTTGGTGTACATCTGTCAATTACTTGATCCCCCTGTTTGTATATGGCTTCTTTCACAGTAGGGGCTGTTGACCACTTACGGCAGTGCCTAAGAAAGCAGTAAGAGACTACAGATGAAGCCTCTTCTAGACAAAGCCTACTGGCGATTCACTGTAAATAGTGAAGAGGAATAAATACGTCTTCTAAAGCTAGTGCTCTGAATGGCTTGGGTTTGGGGTTTGGGGTTTTTTCTAATGGCACCAGGTTGGAAACATTCTCGGATGATGATTTCCTCCCCTTGCCTTGCCTGACACCAAGACAAACGTGCTGCTCCTGAGCATTTGGAAACTTACAGGACTACCTCAGTCATCTGATCCTTCTCTTTGTCAAGACACTGGAAACCAAAGCTTATTAATTATTGTGAAACATTACAGCATATTCTGTGTATAAATTTACTAGATGGTAACCTAGCTTTTATCTTTGCCTACATGTTTTATACTGCAACACAAATCCTAAGGGACTCGTAATGTGGCTGCCATCTGATTCTGGTTCCCATCAATTGGTAAACCTTACAAAGCACCCAGTCAGTTGTCCATCATTTTAAAATTGCATTTGTGAGAGCGTAAGGACCGCCGCGCGGCAGAGTAGGCTGCCTGGGACATTAGCCTTCACAGACCGCCCCTACCTTTGCTGGGAGGGAAGGCGGAAGGGGCATGGTCTAAAACTAATCTGGGAGCCAGAAGATTAATTCAACTTGTAGGTCGGATCTTCCAACAACAGCGAGCTGAACTGAGTGCAGTTACTCTAAAACTGAAACCCTAATTCTGTTTTCTTAAATAGGATTTCAACTTCAAACTCATTGCTGCACTGCTGATAGATGATAGTCTTTTTCCCATTAACAGTAAAACTATTTTTAATAGTTTGGGAACTGTCTTGATCCTCCCAAAACAAGGGTTGACTTCATTATAGCCCTACCATTTTGAACCAAGTATGGCTTTTTCTAGGTTATTCAACTACTGTGGCTCTATTTTAAATGGCAATCTTTGTAACAGGAAATTGGTCTCTGTTAAATGTATTTTCAATTTAAATTCTGCTCTCTAACAATCAGCATGCTCCTGTGACTAGCAGCACCGCTGGCATTGGAATCTTGCTTTCTGAAGCAGTGTCTTTGAAGGGGAAAAGTCTCGCTGTGCTGTGCTGTGCTGTGAACCACGGGCTCAAGCCACCGGGCTCCCAGAGATGGTGGAGGAGCAGGAGCAAGAGCCACAGTACACAGGATGAGGTTTGGGGTCTCTCAGACAGAGTCTCAAGATTTGCCCAAACTGGCCTGTCTCCACAGTCCTGGCACCCGTGAGAGGTTTGGGGTTTTTTGCTTTGTTTTGTTTTGAGAGAAGAGGGTCCTGAGGTTTGAATTCAGCCTCATGATTGCTAGGCGGGTATTTTACCACTGGAGCCACTGCACCAGCAGGCATAGCCATTTGCAATACTTAATTATCTCAGAATACACTTTCCCGATGAACATTTCACAAACACGCAAGTTCAGATACAAGTCCCTAAATACTTAGGCTCTCCTGTGGCTTCGTGGCGGTGGTTCTCAACACGGCTGTTCAGTAGCGCTGTGGATGCCTGGTCCCTGCCCCAGACATTGTCATTTGAGCACAGCGAGTGACGGGACGCGGCGACACTGATGTATGGCAGTTCGTTCCTCATGGCCTAGAACTCACACCATCTGCCTGTTGTGTGCTCTTGGGACAACGATGGGATCCATTCATTAAGATGATGTTGATAAAGCCAATTTTCTCCACGTTAAACATGCTGTAGTAGGGAACAGAATCTCAGAAGGTAACTTTGCTGTCAGGTTTCAGACTACTAAGCAGCAGTCAGGTTTTTTGTTTTTTTCCGCCCTTGGTCAGCCATGGGGGCTTGAACTCAGGGTCTGGGCACTGTCCCTGAGCCTCTTTGTGTTCAAGGGTAGCACTCTACCACTGTGAGCCACAGCACCACCTCGAGTAGTCAAATGGTGATGGGTTTCATGGGGCCTGTGCGCTGTCCCTCAGCTTTTAAGCTCAAGGCAAGCGCTCTGTCACTTGAGCCACAGCACCACTTCCAGTTTTCTGGTGATTTACAGGAGATAAGAGTCTCACAGACTTTCCTGCCTAGGCTGGCTTTGAACCACGATCCTCAGATCTCAGCCTCCTGAGTAACTAGGATGACAGGTATGAACCACCAGGCCCAGCCTGGGCTGGCTGCGTCCAGAAAGACTGCGCTTGAATGTTCGGAAAGGTAGCCAGCAGTGATTGTCTGTTTACGGCTGTACTGAGCCTTTCAAAGGCCTGCACTCTCAACACAGGAGCAAATCCAATGTACTGACTCTAGCACAGGGCAGACAATCTCACCTCACCATCAGGGCTGCCTTCACGGTGTTCTCAGTCCCTACAGCCTAGAATCGATTTTAATTTGGGGGGACAGAGTAGATAAAGTACATGAGTCCTGATTCCAGAGGACTTGCAGTTCTGTGAACAGAAAAGCTGTTAGGTGCAGGGAAAGAGAAGCTGCTCTGATAACTAGTTCCACTTGCAGTGTGCAGTGCCGAGAGAGAACAAGACACTAAAACAAAAGGGTTGTGGCACGCTTTGTAAGCAACCCCAGAGGCAAGATTTTGTCTAGAAAGTTGACCTGATCATTAACCTGGCTTGTTTCTAGCGATCAGAAATGTGTGTCTCTCCCAAGTGCAGTAGGCAGTGGGGTTAGCCCCTAGCAGGGGACCAGGTCTTCAATACTCATCACTTACCACGCTCCCGCCAGCGCACGCCCTCTCACATCGCCATCAGCAATCTCATAGGATTATGGGAGCATGGCCACATGTCCTTCTTGCTTGTTCCCTACCAATAGTGCTGCTCTGGTGGACTGTGCGTTCTCTTCCCCAGTGTCTGTGTACTTACTCCTCCCAGTCTTCATATTCAGAGTTCACTCCACTCCGAGTGGTTTTGAAGCCCATCTCAGGAACTTGTTTCAATGTCTCAGTACATTGAAATGGAACTCATATCTAGACGGAGGAAAGAGGCGTCCACGAGAGGCTGTCAATGGAATGGCATAATGAGGAATGGGTACCTGGAATAGTGGGGAAAATTACCTATTACCTTATGTCTGAAGCCCAGAAATGTCTGGAAGAGAAAATAACTTCAGAGTGATGAGCACAGTCCAGGATTTGTATGCCGCAGCCTTGTCTTCACCAAAATGCCACTGCATTTGAAGTGGCCACAGTGCTGTGGTAGTCTGTGGTTTAGAAAGCTCATGGTACAGAAGATACACTGGCAGCGGGCATCGTGAGAACCGTAAGGGCCAGGGAGGAGGGAGGCTAGAGAGGACACAACTGCCAGGACCTGCTGGCCAAGAGAGAAGCCCCACCCCTCACCCCAGGCGTCCTCCTGCAGTGCTTGGATTGCTGAGCTTAGATCAACAGATTTTGGAGGGAAAAGTCTAATTGGACACAGTAGTTAACAGTAAGTTAGCAGTTAGATAAACCTATCTAAGACTGGAGAGTCAAAATCTAGCCTGGAATACCAATAGATTTAGTAGTAAAAACTGTATGTATAGCAAAAACTAACTACATTAAAATGCAATCATCTTGGTAAGTGTTTGTGCCAGCCATGTGTCCCTAATCCCTAACCGTCTGTCTGCATCTGTGCCTGTGTGCTGGGATGAGTTTCAGCTCTGCATCTGTGCCTGTGTGCTGGGATGAGTTTCAGCTCTGCATCTGTGCCTGTGTGCTGGGATGAGTTTCAGCTCTGCATCTGTGCCTGTGTGCTGGGGTAAGAGTTTCAGCTCTGCATCTGTGCCTGTGTGCTGGGGTAAGAGTTTCAGCTCTGCATCTGTGCCTGTGTGCTGGGCTAAGAGTTTCAGCTCTGCATCTGTGCCTGTGTGCTGGGGTAAGAGTTTCAGCTCTGCATCTGTGCCTGTGTGCTGGGGTAAGAGTTTCAGCTCTGCATCTGTGCCTGTGTGCTGGGGTAAGTTTCAGCTCTGCATCTGTGCCTGTGTGCTGGGATGAGTTTCAGCTCTGCATCTGTGCCTGTGTGCTGGGATGAGTTTCAGCTCTGCATCTGTGCCTGTGTGCTGGGATGAGTTTCAGCTCTGCATCTGTGCCTGTGTGCTGGGGTAAGAGTTTCAGCTCTGCATCTGTGCCTGTGTGCTGGGATGAGTTTCAGCTCTGCATCTGTGCCTGTGTGCTGGGATGAGTTTCAGCTCTGCATCTGTGCCTGTGTGCTGGGATGAGTTTCAGCTCTGCATCTGTGCCTGTGTGCTGGGATGAGTTTCAGCTCTGCATCTGTGCCTGTGTGCTGGGATGAGTTTCAGCTCTGCATCTGTGCCTGTGTGCTGGGGTAAGAGTTTCAGCTCTGCATCTGTGCCTGTGTGCTGGGATGAGTTTCAGCTCTGCATCTGTGCCTGTGTGCTGGGGTAAGAGTTTCAGCTCTGCATCTGTGCCTGTGTGCTGGGATGAGTTTCGGCTCTGCATCTGTGCCTGTGTGCTGGGTAAGAATTTCAGCTCTGGGCCTTGAGCTTTTGCTAAGCTTTTTTTTGTCGGTCGTGGGGCTTGAGCACTGTCCCTGCGCTCATCAACTCAAGGCGAGCGCTCTACCGCTTGAGCCACAACGCCACTTCCAGTTTTCTAGTGGTTTATTGGAGATAAGAGTCCCACGGACTTTCCTGCCTGGGCTGGCTTTGAACTGTGATCCTCAGATCTCAGCCTCCTGAGTAGCTAGGATTACAGGTGTGAGCCACCAGCTTTCTTGCACCTGGCTAGCATTCTACTGCTTGAGCCATACCTCTAGTACAGCACTTTGCTGGCTAACGGGTCTCAAAGACTTCCTCCAACGTCTCAGCCTCCTAAGTAGCTAGGATGTGACTACAGGAATGAGTTCTAGTGCCCAGCTTACTCCTTTAGTTCTTACAACTCCAATGAAATAAGCCTCATAGACAAAAACCTTTCTTAGGAAACCAAAAAACAGTAGATGAGTTACTTAGGCATAAAGTAAAGCAAAGAAGGGTATCATGGACAATGAAATGAATTTTTAAAAGTAGAGTGAAGATGATATGAAAACAATGGAACTATTTTACAATGGAAACAAAGCCAAGGCCCTGAATTCTACATACAATACACCCCCCATGTGTCTCAAGTGGTAGAGTGCTTGACTTCATGCATGACACCCTGGGTTCAATTCCTCAGCACCACATAAGCAGAAAACACCAGAAGTGGTGCTGTGGCTCAAGTGGTAGAGCTCTAGCCTTGAGCTGAAGAGCTGAGGGACAGCGCCCAGGCCCAGAGTTCAGGCCCCACAACCAACAAACAAAAAAAAAAAGTTGCCCAGCAAATGGGCAACTTTAGGTCCTAAAGACCTAATGAGGCAGGAAAAAGCAGCGCTTTAAGCCATGTTCACGTGGCTTTTCTCCAATATGTTAAGAGTGATGATAGTTTGGAGGGGCTGAATACTAATCAGAGAGGGCACACACTGAGACATTAGCCGTCATCAGTACATACTGTCAACATGTATGCTGCCAAATGTACGCTTTAAATGT